TCTGCTTCTGCTTTCATCTCTGCTCTCGCTCGGCGCCACAGGATTAGGTGATGTAATTTCACTTGTTAGACGCTTCTTCACTGGGCTCATTTACCATTGTCTTTGATTACGCTTCTGACTGAATCAGTGGAGTCACCTTATTTCCCACATGCTGCCGTGTCTTCAATGGGAAGGAAATACCAGCCACCCTTGCGCACAGGAAAAACGGCAGAACTAAGTTACCAACATGGGAAAAATTGCCACTGTTTATCGTAGTGAATGAAAGTAATGCTAAAAATACAGTTTATTGCACAGGCCTGCAATCAGGCTTTCTTCATCATCAGGCAGGCATTTGCTTCATTTTGCATTTCCACTGCTGCAGGAGCAGAGGGCCGTTGGTTTGGCTGTTTTAGAGGAATTACTGCTATGACACACTTTCTCATTGCAGGTTTTAGAAGCTGAAAATAGGTGGAGGTGAAGAGGTAAATGCCTGAGGGGAGTATGTTTTGTTCGGGGCATAGACCTATTCTAAAAGTTTGACAGGAAGTCCAATAGCTCTCCTTTATATGTCTGAATTAACATCTTTAGATTAAAAAATTAAAGGTTTGTTTTTCTATTTTGAACACATCCGGTTTTCACCTTAGTTCACCAAGTATAGCACAGACTCAGATCTTTAGGTATGTTCCTGCGGTGCGCTCCTCTGATACGTGAATATGATACTAATTCTGCTTTGTTAATTTTTTTGGGAGCTGCAGATTAAGTTTGCATATTCAAACGTCAAAAGAAAAACAACATTTTCCCTGAAGAAAAACTAAAGGATCAAGCCTCCCCCTCACGCTGAGGCGGCCAGAGAGGAGCAGCTTAAACACACAGAGAGGAAGAGCATGTTGAGGCATTGCTCATGGGAGTGTGGGTGGATGAGTATCTGGGAACGGGCTACCATGAGCCACTCTGTTTGATCTAAACACTGCCACCATGAAAGCTGAAACACTGAACACAAAAACATCAAATCCACCCTTTAAGGCAGCAATAACAATAATAATCTGGCAAACTTCACTGACTGGGGGATTATGTTATATGCCGGTGAACAGATCTGAACAATAAGGTCACATGTTTCACTTATAACTGGCACTTAAGGTGACTTTTACATGGATTTCTTAGACTTGAGGTGTTAATGTGAGTCATGTCTGAATTGCACCACCTTAGCAGTCCAATCTCTCTGCTTTGTTGCACTTTTACAGCCTGAACCCATTTTATATTCACAATGAAAAAACAGCTTTACTGCTAAGAAGTACAGCTCAGTTCTTTTAAAACCATAAATGACATATTTAACTTAATAGCTAAAGCAGTTAAAACACTATTAAATCATTTAAAGTTGGAGTTTTCCATCACTTCTTTGTGAATGGAGTATTTTACACCAAACAGGATCAAAGTAAACCTCTTTAACTACACTAAGGCTGAAACAATTGATCAGATTAATCATGTTTAATCGATTATTGAAATAATCGTCCACTAATATTGTAATTTATTAATTGTTAACAGCATGGAGACTCTAAAACAGGCCTTTAGCTGACAGAGCAACACACTTAAAGGAGTAACATTACCAAAATATCAGCTCTGCACCTACGTTTATAGATGTTGGAGATTGGCCTATTTTTCAGTGTAGTCCTGTTTCTCTGACCGTGACTGAGTGGATGTGCTCTCTTTCTTCCTCTGACATGGCAGCTGGCTCAGAGCTCGCCTGCCTGGCTGTGAGTTTCCTGGACGGGGCCGCCTTTTACAGCTGCTTTCTGTATCTCTGCTTCTGTCTCCTTGAACCCCAGTCGGCCTCGGCAGATGGCCGCTCACACTGAGCCTGGTTCTGCTGGAGGTTTGTTCCTGTTAAAAAGGGAGTTTTTCCTCTCCACTGTCGCTACAAGCATGCTTAGTGTGAGGGATTGCCTTCAAGTCAATGAGTCGATGCAATCAACTGGTTTTCCTTAGATAGAAAACTTTGAATCAGTTTCACTGGATGATCTGGTGAACTGTAAAGTGCTTTGACATGGCATGTGTTGTGAATTGGCGCTATAGAAATAAATTGAAAACAAAAACAAACAAACTGTAAAACATATATATATAAATATTTTTGCTTTAGGATAAAAGCTGTGTTTTCATCTGTCAATATGTTCTATGCAGAACTCCTCAACTGGAAAAGTTTTAGTTTCACCTGGTTTAATTTTGTAAAAGGTCTCCTTTAAGGCACCTTCAGCTAGTTGATTTATTAATCGAGAAAATAATCAACAGATTAATTGGTTTGCAAAATAAGCGTTAGTCGCAGCCCTAAACTACAACCTGTCCCATGATTCCGGGTACGACTCCCTGAGTATGTGTGGGTTCTCTCCGGGTACACCGGATTTCTCCCACAGTCCAAACACATGACTGCTACGTTAATTGGCTTCTCTAAATTCTCCTTAGGTGTGTGTGTGTGTGTGTGTGTGTGTGAATGGTTGTTTGTTCTGTTTGTCTCTATGTTGCCCTGCGAGGGACTGGCCCACTGCTTCACTGAGCAGCCGTCAATAGAGTCAAAACAACAACAGCTAAAAATAATAAAATCTTCTTGGAAAAAGTGTCAAAGCGCTTTAAGGCATCATCCAAAAAATGGTGAATAAAGTTTTATTCCTCCTGAGGAAAGCCGTCTAGACACCTAATGAAGGTGCTACTGCATGATTTACAGCCTGATGCTTTGCAGGGAATGCAATTTCAACAACGCAGGTGACGTTGTTAGCTTGAAGGTCGGCGAACCTCGTGCCAGAACTCCAACACTTTCTGTTGTCGTGTCAGAATTATCTCCCTGGGAACAAATTGTTAAATTAAATTTCCATAAAAGGCGCCGGGTGCTAAGAGGCGGCAGACACAACGACACGCTGTGGGAATTCTGCAGCTTTTTTCCTCCATGCTACTGTAAGAAGTGGTTTGCCGCCTGGAGTGCAGCCTTATAGGAAAAGTAGAAGTCATTGCTCACACGTTGCAGTTATTTTCCCCAGTAATGAGCTCATCTGTTCGGCCCATTAGCACAAGAACAAACTACTTCACCGTAAGTGGGCGGAAGTAAATATTAGCTTAGGAGATAAGAATGGAGCAAGTAAATAAGAAGAGATAAGGAATGGGGCTGTATGATTCCAGATTTTTAATGCTTTCCAGCTCTGTTTGCCTGACCCCTCCACACTTATCTTTTTTCATGGTTTCTGCCAGAGTTTTCTCTAAATCTTGCTCTTAGTGTCATGCAATAGTCAAAGGGTCCAACGTTATGAAAATATGTCTGCCAGGAAACATTTACAGAGCTGTTATAAAAGTACATGTCTCTTTTCAGTTCAGTATAAAATTTTTAATTCTTTAGTTAATCTTAAATGTTTCTGTTGTAAAATAATAAATTTTAAAAACAGACCTAGATAATCTTAATAAAACCAAAATTTACACTCTGGAACGGACATATCTAGGGGTTTGGGATCCCAGTGAGCCACAGTGAGAGGTGTTACCCTATAAATGGAGAAAGAAAAAAGAGGAAAACTCTGCCACTAGGTGGCAGAAGAGCTCAAAATAACATGTGAATGACCATGAATGACCAAACTATTTTAGCTAGGAGGGAAAAACGACGGCCGACCAAAAAAAAAAAGCATGAATCCATCTCACTTCTGCCTGAAAAGTTCTGCAAAGTTCAGGGAAATATTGCGTGGCCTGGTTAGTGGAACATGTTGGAACGCGCAATGATGTTACATTTTAGCACTAGCTCAGAAAACAAGATGATCGTAATAAACATAAAATAGTGGTAGTGGTGTGATGGTCTGGGAATATTTGCCACATGCATGAAATTCTAATGGTGTGATCAAACTTAGTAAAAAGATCATGGTTTCAGAGTATTCAGAGCATGCATGAATCTGTGTGCTAGCTGCAACTTGCTCCTCCCTTCTGTGTGGTTGCAAACCCACTTTAAGCCTTTTACGCCACTTAAAGGGCTAAAGGGATAAATGTAGCAATTTAATTTTGTTAAATGTATGAGCAAAATTGAGTGCCATTGCGATTTAAAACTTGCACTTTGTTAAATTGTGATTATATTACAAGTGCAATAAATTACCCAGTTCTAATGTTAACAATTAACAACTGTACACAAAACGCACAGCTAAAGCTATGGAAAAGAATGCTCTGTTCCGTTTGAACATCATTCCTCTGATGATGTCATAAGGGGAAATAAGCTATCTGAGTGGTCTGTAGCAACCTATCAGTAAGCTCAGTGGCTTTATTATATAAAGTATTGTTCCGTCCTCCCAGCCACAGGGATTCGGTACTTTAGTCTTCCACTTCAAACTGATAAATTACTACACATCTCAGACATTCCCTGATGGCCATTTGACCAGCTCAGTCCATCTGGTCTCACTGATGCATGATGCTAAAGTCTGTTCAGTCTATGACGGCATAAACTTCACCTTGAAGTAATATAACAGTTCGATCCCCACAGCCTCTACTCTGGGCCCTTAATCCCACACTGCTCCACAGGCGTCACGCAATGGCAGCCCACTGCCCCCCAAGGGGATGGGTCAAACTGCAGAGAATGAATTTCCCAACTGTGGGACAATTAAGGGGTTTACATTAAACCGCCGGCTGAGACAAAAACTGTCCGTTTTGAAAGGGAGACATTTTCATACCAGGTATACTGAGAAACCGAAGCGTGTCTATTCAGAACCAGCGCATCAGTACCACAACAACTTCCACAGTCTACAAGAAAATCCAAAAGGAGAAATCAAAATCATGCGATCCTGACCTCGAGTTTAAAACCCATTTGAGTTAAGCAGCAGAAACCAGAGCAAACCAGTATGTCCTCCTTAATAAAGGCTTAGAGTGGCCTAGTCAAAGTCCAGATCCACAAAAGTTTATATGAATTTCAAAAATGAACTCAAATTGTTCGCAATCATAGGTCCAGGTCCTCTAAAATTCACATAACTACAACTAAAACAACTAAATAGTGAGTGAAAAGAAAAGCCTCCTACCTCATAGGACCAGACGCACTGGACCTTGGCGAACCGCCTCACACAGCGGCCCACCTCCACGTCCTCATGGGTGGTGTACATCTCCTGCAAACATTCCCGGATGTGGGGCACCATCCTCCGGAGCACCTCGCGGCTCATGATGACGCCCGGACCGCCCATGCAGAAGTTCTCCCCAGGCTCTAGCGCCAGCTTCCCGAGTTCATCGCGGGCCCCCATCCCCGTCTGACCCAGAAAAATGGCCTCGCTGCTGTTGAGGCTTCGCAGAAAGCTCTCCAGCTTGTCGCTCTTGATGTAGACGTCATCGTCCGCCCTCATGAACCACTCGTACTTGTCCAGGTAGTGGTCGTGCATGTACTTCAGCATCATGAAGGACTTCTTCTGAGGCGGATAGGAGTCGTCCACATTCCTCAGAGCCACGATCGGGATGGGAATCGAGGTGTCTGAGCCTTCGCTGGAGAAGAATTCAACCCTGCCTGGGATCGTTTGGGCCCATGTTCTGTTAACAATAAAACAAAGATAGAAGCGAGGTGAAGCAGAGCTCAGATAGCAGAGATGGGCTCAGGTTTAATGTGGAGTTGAAGGAGAGTTCAGAGCAGAGAAACCAGCCCTGTTTATTACATCCATGTTCTTAAATTATATGAATCAGATCCTGAGGCTAAGTGATGTGTAGACAAGAAACCAGAACCTACGCTTTTTGTTTTAGCAGCTAAAGCAGCAGCTCTGGGAGAAAGGAGGTTCATCTAAAGGCTGTTTGTGACCACATTCCTGTGGCGCCAGCAGTAGCAGCAGCTTAATTAGATCCTCCTCAGGGTGCTGAGATGCTGTGACTGAGTGGCCTCCTTTTTATCAAACTTTCATTAGCCTATTAATTCTTAATAAGCAGCCAGGTGCTGCAGGAATTTACATATTTTCTGAACTTCAGGGGTTTGGATCTGTTGCTCCGTTTGTTACAGACGGACAACAACAGCAACTTTATATCACATCTTTGTTTTTATTTATAAACTAATGTCAGTCCAATAACAGTGGACTCATTTGGTTTTGTTGATTTTGTGCAGACATGAGCTTTATGTCGACCTTAAAAATCAAATCTGATTTTTTCCCCCAACCAAATCCCGTTTTTCCTTTTTTTTAATTCTCTTATGTTTTTAATAAAAAAAATATCAAAAAAAGACAAATGACACCCATTACTTTCTAAACCTAGTTTTTCTTTCAATGGTGACTTTAATTTAAAGGGCAACTACATTAAGGCTGAGAGAAAAAAAAGGTTTTAGAAGGAACTTTTTTTCTTAGATTTTTTTCATAGTTTTATATTCTTTTTTTTACTCACTTTGTTTTTACAGACTCTATTACTTTTTTTTTCCTTCCACGTTATTCTTTTTCAGAGTTCTTTTGAATTTTGCTTAAATGTTTCTATAAATGATAAATTATGATTATTTTCAACCAGTGTATAAATATCAAACCTATAAACTGATATCATCTTATAAACTTTCTTTTCATAGTTAAGGCCAATTTATGCTTCTGATGCATAGCCTCTGCAGTCGTCAAATCTGTCTCAGTGTTCAGAAAAATCCTGACAACGCGTCCGACGGTCGCAAACCCGCGCAAACATCAAGCGGAAGTGCGCAGATAAAAAGCAGCTGTGATTGGTCCTTGGTACGCCTTTCCGGCCGTCTGTGTGGTCGTCATTCTCGATTCGGTGCCGGGGCGCCCCATTTTTAAAAACCGAGGAAAAACTAGAATGGACAACTATGACGAAAGGTTAATTGAGGAGGTTCGGAAGTACAACCATTTATATGATGCCTCAGACAAATAATATAAATAAATATTTCCTTTTCAATGTCTAGCAACTCTAGATCCATCTCAGTGACCGTGATATATTGCAGATGCGCCATTGTTGTTTTGGAGGATAAACACTCCCGGCTGCGCCGCCGAGGTTCTTGTGACCATCCGCCAAGGTTCTCGTTAGTTCTCAAATAGGCTCCACCTTGCACTTTGGCGGTAAACTGCTGTGCGTACTAGGGCATTTTGTACCGATGCATCAATCCAACAGCCGACGATCCGATGCATCGACACGTCCGCAAGAGTATCGATTCAGGTTTATTTTTTTCCTCCGGTCTATTTTTATCCATTTGCTCCCGGACGTAATTCTTCCTCCTGTGCTGCGGTGGCACTAAACCTATTTTGCCCTCCTACCTCGCTTCCTGGTTATAATCTTACAGCAGTATGTTGCAGTGAGCTTGACACAGACATTTTTAAATTATGCTCAATATTGAAGCGTGGTCTGTGCTACACGCTGTGGGTGTAGATACAGCCGAGGCGATGAGGAAGTGGGGGCGAGTTTAGTCCGAAGACGGAGGGACATGAGGGCCAAAAAGAGCGGAGATCCAGGTGGAAAAAGGGTCCTAGCGTTCTCGCGCACCTCGCACTTCTAGCGGGTCAAACTTCACGAGATGTTTTCTGCAATTTCGGTCATAAAAACAAACCAAGCCGGCCCCCTGTCTGCGGCACTGTCTGCTGTCAGCTACAATTTGGGAGAGGTGCAGCAGAGCGTCTGTGGAGGGGGCGGGACGTCTGGAGCCGAGGTATTTCATTGCACACATTGCAATGATTTTGTGCAGTATTTTTTGATGCAACTTTTCTACTTCTGTTATTTGCTGTTGTTTCTAAAAAAAAATGCATAACGATATTACAACTTTCATTGATTTATTTCAAATTTGAAACTTTGTTTAGCCTGTAAGGTGTAAAAAAAAAAAAAAAAAGAACAAATTAATCGAATCGTATCGTGATGTATTCTTGATTATCGAAAATAATCGAATCGTTGGGTCAAGAGATCGATACTGAATCGAATCGCCATGATGGATGTGATTTACACAGTGCGTCCATAGAAATTACAGAGGGACGGTGCAGAAGCATACCAGCAAAACTGATTCACGACCAGACGCAAGCGACATTTGATGTGTGCAGTTACAGAAGTCTAATACGCCCTTTACATGGAGCTTTATTGTTCAAAAACACAAGAAAACACATTTACACATACCCAGTTTTTGATGCTTCAGTTTCTTATGCCATATAAAACAGATTTATTATTTTATTTACGGATTCTGACCGTGGTGCTGTCTAGGCCGAGTGTCTGAGCTGCATGAGAAGGCAGCACAGCAGGAAGGCATCCTGACAGTTTATATCTTCAGCGTTGTTTATTGACCCTCAGATCTACTCAGCCAGGCGTGGAAGTAGTGATGTTAGATGTTTGTTTGGACAGACCAACATTCAGATTTCTACTCCCTTGTTCAGTTAGTGGGTTTCATCACATGTAACAGACCCTGACTGCACTAAGATAAGCAGAAAAAGTTATGCTTAACATGTTTAATTAAGCAGATTAATGTGTTTTTCATTCTATCCACAACGTGTATGAAACGAGACAGAGAAAAAGAGGAAGAGAAAAAAAATGAAATTTGAAAAAATAAAAACGGAGAAAATAGAAGAAAATGGGGAAGGCTTGGCTCTTCCTGCAGAATCTATGCTAAGATTTTATCCGAGGAGCAAACAGGGAGCCTACTGACAACAGCGGGTCAAAGGTGAGGCCCTGAGTCCACCGGAGGCGGTGTTTAATCACGTTGGCCGTTTGTGGTTCTTTGCATTTTATATAATCCCATAGCCAGTCTGGCAGCTAGCCAACTGGTGCTTTCCTTAATTAACTTTAAGCCACACTTTAAAATGCCGCTGCACAAACATTAAACCGCCGCACGTTCTTCTTCGTTGGTATTTGTGGCATTGAACTGGGAAATCGGAAATGCAAAACGTGACCGATTCCGGCAGATTTGAAAGGAATCCATTGATTATCAATACCCAAAGCAAATTTTAAAGACTTTATTCTTTTCATATTGCATGTTTCAGATCACTTTCTCTTCATTTCTGGGGGCGGGATTTCCTCTGGAGAGAGAAGCAAAGACACATTCCTATTGGTCTGCTGGGTGTTAGCAAAACCATTTTTTATTGGTCAAAAGCGAGAGTGTGTATCTCGAAAATGCAATATGAAATTCAATTCATTAAAAAAAAAACTTTGAAAAACAAATTTGAATGAAAATAAAAACTTGCATAATGGCAAAGTTACTCCTAAAACCTTTGTTGATTAATAAATTCATTTTTTTTGCTACAATCATGGAACAAAATCCACTCCATATTAAGCGTGATTGCAAAACAATAAATTTTCACAACGGACAATGAAAATATAACAAAATAATTGTCACCGGTAAACTAGTTGATCAGTTATGAGGAGAGACTGAAGAACAAACAGTGATGAATTGATGTCACTCTGGTGGAAAAAACAATTTTCCAAAAGTGTAATCTTCATTGACCCTTCAGACGGCAAGTTAGCATTTTCAATCACCGGCACATCCCTCATAAATGGAGTCAAATCTGATGCACCAATGAGGCTGCTACATGGCTGTGCATCTTATTTTGGCATTTGACCAACTAGATGAGCCCTTGAATGATATATTACCTACTGGAAATTAAGCTGGAAAAAAAAGTTAACAAGTCAAGAAAAAAAAGCTAAAAAGCTAATTGAAAAGTTAAAAAGTCAATAAGCCTAGTTAACAATTATATTTAGGTTTATAAACTAAAAACTGTAAGTGCCAGTATCTGCATTAATGCCTCTAAGGTTATGCTGGACCAAACCAGATGTGTTTGCTTCACTCTAAGTGTTTTTCCATGAATTTCTTATAGAAGCACTTTTTATTATTTTTCTTAACTTATTCGGGCAAGTTGGCGTTTCTTGTTATTACATTGACATTAAATTTCACCATCAAAATATCCAGATTTTTTGAATGTTACAAAGGTAATAGAGGTGTAAATCACACCCATCATTGCGATTCGATTCAGTATCAATTTCCTGACCCAACGATTGGATTATTTTCGATACTCAAGAAAACATCTTGATACGATTCGATAAATTGGTTACTTTTTTCTTTTTTTTTTTTACCTTACAGGCTAGACAATGGTTCAAATTTGAAATAAATAAATGACAGCTATAATATCGTTATGCATTTTATTTTAGAAACAACAGCAAATAACTGAAGTAGCAAAGTTATACTCCACCTAAGCCTATGAAAACCTCATTCACTGAAAAATAATCACACCTCTGTTTTATAGATTCTGAAAGGCTTTGCATCAAAAAATACTGCAAGCGGAAAGTAGTGGCTAAAGGAAGCGAGGTAGGAGGGCAAAATAGGTTTAGCGCCACCGCAGCACGGGAGTCAGAATTATGTCCAGGACCAAATGGATAAAAATAGACCGCTAAAAATCGATACTCTTGCAGACGCCTCGATGCATTGGATCGTCAGCTATTGGATTGATGCATCGATACAAAACGATTATTATTTACACCCCTAAAAGGTAATAAGTTCTTGTCCTGGATTCCAATAACACTATTGGCTTGAAAGTTTGATTTTCAAACTATTTCCCTGAGAGCCCTATAAAGGATTAACAGTAAATTGGTTAATTGATTAAATTGAATCAATTGATCTCCCACCTCTAAACTCTCCCATTCCAACAGGGTTTTTCCTCAGGGTATTTGGGGGGTTTTGCTGCCTTCACCACCTCATTCAATTATATTTCTCCTCTGGAATCAAATTAAAATTGCACGTGTGAATCACTCCAGCAGAAATTGCTCTAGTCTAATTCAACATGATCTAAATTTATCAGAAGCCCAAAGAAAGCATCCAGATTCCTGGCCATAAAATGGTTAACCAGAAGGAGCATTGTTCCCCATAAAGGATTCAGCATTAGTAGCTGTTCATGTCGCTCAAATATGGTTTAAAACAACTCCTAATTTCTAAGCTGTCTAAAAGTGGAAATACATTAGTGTCTTATTTATAAATAATCCTAAAATATATTCTTTTAAATTGAAAATAGAAATTCCCTTTAAGATTATCAGAGTAAACTATTTTACCTCTTAAAAGTCAAGTTTGGATTCTTATTAATGTTTATATGCTTTGCTGGTGAAGGTTCTCAGTCATCCAGGTCATGATCATTCCCAAAAAAAGAAAATTAAAACAATCCACTGGACTTTGTTTCCAAGTTTGACATTTAACTTCCCATCCAGGAAGCTTTTTCAATTCAAAATGTCAGGAATGGGGCTGAGTTCCAGGTTTCATACAGTAGCCCAACAAAGCCTTGTTTTTGTTCTGAAAACATGCAAATTGGAACAGACTGAGACGAAGATGGTCCCTAAAATTTGTAAGTTTCCAAACCAATTTCTCATACTCATGCATTATTCCGAGGGTGTCTTTCCCAAAATGGACTGCAATGTGCTGGTGTCTGTTCCAATATGCATGTTTTCAAAACAAAAACAAGCCTTTGTTGGGCCACTGTAAAAACCTCCAACTCATTTCTGACATTTTAAATTGAAAAAAAAAAAGTCCTCAAACTTGGAAACAAAGTCCAATGGATTGTTTTGGATTTTCTTTTTTTCTTTATACGGTTATGTATAGATTGGACTCTCTCTGTTAAACAGAGGTTTTAAAACATAAAAACTATAAAGAAATCGTTTTATTCCTTTAGGTGAATTTATAAAACTGCTACTTCAGCCAACATCTTCCTAGTTTGGGTTTGAATTCTTCAGGATTTTAAATGCCTTAATAAATGAGTGAGGTGCTGGGAGGTGGTGGGCTGAAGCAGACCCTCCTTTCTTCCAGACTGGAGGCTCAGCAGGAGTTTAGATGGTTCTGACATTTAAAGAGCCTTTCTGGCCGCGTGCAGCCATCATCATCACCATCCTCAGTAGTGTGCGCGTACCTGTGCGCGGCCACGGCCCGGCTGTTCAGGTACTTCTGGGCCGTCATCACACCGACGAAGAGGAAATTCTTGGAGCCGGTGTCCGGCTGGTCGGTGGTGGGGGAGCCGTTGGCCGGCTGCCCCCACAGGACCCCCCCGTGTTCCTTCCTCAGACCCCCGTTGAGCCCGCAGGCGGCGGGGTTGGCTTTGCGCTTGTGTCCGGCTCTCTTCAGCTCGGTGGCTCTGGGTAAGATGAGCCTGGAAGCCAGCGTGAAGCCGACCACCAGCCCCAGCAGGACGCTGAACCAGGCTCTGCGGCTTCGCCCTGCCATCCCCCCCATATGAAACTTCACCAGCGGCGGCTTTAAAAAAAAAAAATAAAAATGCGAGAGATAAAATTCAGGGACTTGAAAGACGGCCGTTAGAGCCGCGGCTCGCGCTCCGTCTGAAGAGCAGAAAGGCGCTTTTCTTCTAGATGCCCACGTAGCATCGCAGCAGGCTGCTTCAAGCCGCTACCCGGAGCCCAGGGTTCCGCTGCTCCGTCCCTCCCACCGAGCGAGCAGCACCGTCCGCCGCGGGGCCAGTCACCGCTGAGCCGCACCGGGAGCGGGGTTCATGGCAGCTGAGAGCGGAGGGTCCCGTCCGGTTCGTCCCCCACGCACAATCCAGGTCTGACGATCCAGGCTGGCTGCTGATCTCGAAGGGTTTAACGCTGGGTTTGACCCTAGAGCCTTTCCGTAGAGATGTTCTGACTGGCCGACTACGTAGCGACACGTTTTACCGGAAATCTTTTTTAACCCTTTATAGGGCACTACGGTAGAGATTACTGCAAAAATAACAAAGGTTAACTGATTTTTACATTTTATTTTAGTTTAATATGAGAAAAAGTCAGAATTCTGACTTTAATCTCAGAATTCTGACTGGATTCCATTTTTGTATGGCTCTTTCTATGTTTGATTTGAATGTTTGTTGATATTAATCCCCTGCTATTTGTTTTACTTTGTATTTTTCAATTGTAATTACTCTTCATCTGTTCATACACGCGTTTACCATCCTATCTGAAAGTATTTTTTATGTAAATATAAATGGCTTAATAAAAAATAAACTAAAAAAATACTTTTTAACCATTGCAGTGTCTGCAGCTTACATCTAATGCGGACATGCTTGAGTGTAAATTATTTTTTATTTATTATTTTTGAAAATCTAAGCAAAACCCCGCAGTATTATTATTAAAGTGTCGATTGACGTTCGGAGTAGGACTGGAAAGTCGAGCAAATCGTATCTATTTGGGTTTTAGTTCAAATGCTTTCATTGAATTATTAAAGTTGTGTTTATATTATTTTTATTTCCCTTTTTCTTTCCCATAATGTCAGAAAATCTAACGAAACAGAAACAGAACTGCACGGCGTATCTTTGGCGCCATCTAGTGGTTAAACCCAGTTGCGCATTCAGGCTTTGGTTTTGCAAATGTGCATTCAAGGAACTGACACAAATCTTGTGTGTTGTGGTTTTAGCCTTTTTAGATCATCTTACTTATTTTGGTGATAAAAAATTTGAAATATTCCACATGTTTTGATCTGTAAATTTGTTCTCACAGGATGCTAATCAGCTTTTAGGTTAAATCCTGACTCTGTGACCCATTCCTGTCCTGCAGATAGCTTCTCATATGTTCTTTGCTTCTGTTCTTCCACCTGCTTTCTAAAAAACTGACCAGGTTCCCTTTTTTTGACTACATATTCAAAAGCATTTTGTTTTCTATCAAATTGCATAATCTTTGTGACACAAGGCTCCAACATTTCTTGGGTAAACAGCTATAGGATAAAATGTTGAACCTGCTCCCTTCATGGCAGTAATTTCTTGGATGAGATGGACTGGATCACTGTGCTTTACTGCTGGCACTACAATGAATATTTCTTCTTCCATTCACCACAGAAATGGACTTTTTGCAATCCTACCCATCACTGCATGAAAAGTGAGATTTTCGTCCCCGTAAACTCCCGCAAATCTCCCTGATTTTCGTCAGTTTCCGACAATTTGCAACCCGTGCTTGTCTGCGTTTGTCGTGCCACAAATTGTCAGAAACGTACCATGACGTATGTGGAGAGCGATCAGCTGTACTAATGGCCCTAATTAGCATATGAATGCAGCAAACCCGCGCGGCTGGCCAGGTCTGGCTTGAATAACCTACTCAGTATTGGCTGAAACCACTGTTCTCAAACAAGCGATATATATATATATATATATATATATATATATATATATATATATATATATATATATATATATATATATATATATATATATATATATATATATATATATATTTACATATATATATATATTTACATATATATTTATTCATTCATATGCTGTGTATTTATGTTATCCTACACTACTACACAATTATTAGGAAGCTGTTTTATGTTTAATGGAGCTTATGTTTTTATATTAATAATATAAGAAAAAAAATTGTGGTTATTTGGCAGATTCATTTACAAAAGTACGGATTTTTTGAACAACATTAAATCCAAAGATTTTGACCATGGTACGGCTGATTTATTTGTTGTGGTCTCTTGTTATTTACACACAACACTAAACGGTGATAGCCGACGTGAGTTTTGAGTTTGCAAAGCTTTCTCTTAAGTGGAAAATCAATGCGCATCTACACAGCACAGCGTTCACAGACCAGTGAGATGCGTTCGCTGCGCGTCAGACAGCTATGGTGCATTCAGGAGCATTGGAACATTTTAAACTTACAAGAATGAGGCATAAAACAGAACTGTATTTTACTGAACTTTATTGTATTTTTTTTTTTTTTTTGTTTATGGACATTGCTAGCTTTTTATTCTAAAAAAATCTATAATATTACAGCAGCAATTTATCAAAGTTTTTCAAAATCCTGTTTAAAAGCTCCAAATGGGGCTTCAGATCATATGAAGCGACAATTGCACTGTCATTATTTTACAGGGCAGAATTTGCATTTGCTGATCCTTGTACTTAATTACTGATGAATATACAGGAATCCAGACGTACAAGTGTCAACTCCTGTGAGATAGCAGGGGATGCAGTTTTTGGCAAGGACCTGCCACAAAATGCATCCTCAATGTTTTTAACCTAAGAATTGTCCCACACACATGAAATTCACACTGGTACCTCAGCACACATGTGGAAGCATGTAGTAATTGTTACATCAGCTACAAGTCTATATTTCTGTAAAAAAGCAGGGGATGCAATTTTTGGCAAGGACCTGCCACAAAATGCATCCCCCTTGTTTTAACTTAAAGATTGTCCCACACACATGAAATTCAAAGTGGTAGCTCAGTACACATGTGGAAGCAGGTAGAAATTGTTACATCAGCTACAACCATAGGCGGATCTACTGGGGTGGCATGGGGTGGCAAATGCCACCCTAAATGACAGCCTTGCCACCCCTGCTGCCACCCCAGTTGGCGGTAGGGGTGGCGAGGCTTATAAATTATGGATAATTTGAGAATTGCGACCGCTAATTTCCAATGTCGGACTGCAGTGAATGCAGCACGAGATGACGCGAGAGCGACTGAGACTGATTGTTTTGAAAACAGAGCGGGGCAAAGCGAGGGAGCCAGGGGTGATGGGGAGAGGAGACACAGGATGAAACAGGTAAAAACTGATTAACTATCTATCGAGAAATGAAATCATAATGAAAGCACAATGTTGCTAGCATAGCTGCAATGCTGATTTTGAGATTATAAAAATCAGGTTGCAGAACGTCATTTCTCTAACTATGATGTTAGTTAGGCCTGAAGTCTCAGGCTCATAAAGACATATTTGCGGCCAACCATGACAGAAAAGATACGATCAAGTTTGGTTGTACTCAAATCAAAACGCACAAAGACATTGGATCTAAATAAATTTGTGAAGCGTTTTTCTGAGCAACATGGAAATCACTGTATTCAGCTGTTATAGTCATGTTAACTTTATGTTATGCTCTCTGGTGAGCCTTTACACAGCTGTTACATTTTGCTTTGGCACCTGAGAAAATCTGATATTTCCTTTAATAGAACCAAAAGTGTTAAAAGTTAAAAATGTGATACTGGTGTATATCCTGCTTAATATGAAGCACTGTTGTTGTTTCTTTTTTGTATATATAGTATGAAATTATCCAGAAATGACCTGTATGAACCTACTCACAAGCAAAATGTATTTTTTATGTTGCTTCTTTTCAGATTTGTGGAGATTTTGATGTAACATACAGAACCCGCCTTTTTGTTGATTTGTTGATATAGCAGTATGGAGGACCAACTCTGCCATATTTAAAAATAAATACAGAAATAAATAAATGCTTAATAAATAAATAAGCATACAATTAATTGCCACCAAAAATACAAACAACAAATAAATGTAAGTAGAAATTAAATTATACAGCTAGTCATAAAGGTACGTATATAACTCTTTTAATTGGCTTCTTTATTTCTTTGCCTTTTTAATATTTACCTTATTTATTTTTTTGTCATTTATTATCTTCAACTTCATTTTTTAATTACTTATATTTTTAAGTATTTATTTATGTGCATGTTATAATATTTTTGTCTGTTTTATTCTTCCTTTGTATTTTTTTACCCTAGTTATTTCTTCGCCGCTATTTCTTTCTGCCTGCCCTGTTTACATTTCTGCCTGCCATTATAATAAAATTTCTAATTACATTTATTTGTTTATTGAATTTTTGGTGGCAATTAATTGTATGCTTATTTATTTATTGAGCATTTATTTATTTCTGTTTTTATTTTTTAATATGGCAGAGTTGGTCCTCCATATTCAGCTCTATCTACAGCATATTTACATGCATGAAATGTCCCTTTCATGTTGCCTTAACTTCTGTATGTCAAGTTACTGAGGAACAAATGGGGTAAATGTGTGTTCAGAGTAAACATTACATAGATGTCCAGTACCTTGTTCGGGTGCCTTGACCCGTTTATTTCTACTGTGTAGTTCTGCTCACTTTAGTACAGCTCAGTCCATAGATCTCTGATGGGGAACTTTTTCTTTCTATAGTTTCTTCTTGTGCAAAAGCTGCAAAGCTGCCTCTCTGACAGTCAATCTCACACATCTACTACTCAGCACCTGTGTCTTACCTTAATACCTTTCCTATCATAAGGCCCTTCTAGAAGTAGTGTTATCGTTCTTCTATCTCCTATTAAGTGAGATCACATTGTACGATGTATTATTAATATGAACTTTTTCACATGAAACACTAGTACTGTACATACTATTCTCACCAAACTGTGATAACTGTGATTAAAATCAGTGTAAACAAATGCCATATGTTGCCACCCCTAAAAAATTCCTGCCCCCCTCTTGCCACCCCATAAATATTTTTCTAGATCCGCCCCTGGCTACAACTGTATATTTCTGGAAAAAAAGCAGGGGATGCAATTTTTGGCAAGGACCTACCGTTTAGGTAATCAAGATTTACATCTTACATCCAACCTAAATGTAAACTTTTACCTTACATTTGCATTTCACCTTTTTGGATTTGGAAAATAAAACCAGTTGCAAACACAGTAATGTAGTTCTTTTGTGCTATTTACTTTATTCTTAGTGTATTATAAAAAAACAAAGTCTTACAGTTCCATCAAACAACATTAAACAGATTTCAACATTTTTGAAGTAGCTTCCAAACAAAGTGGAATAAATATAACAACATATAAATCACAATTTAACTTGGAACAGTGTAAAGCAAAAATAATTTAAAGGAACTTAAA